AATAAGCCCATACTGGGTTTGTCTACTTCCTCATCTCCAACCCGTATGAGCCTTTACTAACACAAGTCTTGTTAAACCAGAAGTCTCAATGGCACTGTTTTCACATATGTGTGTGCATGTGCAACACATATACATGTATACATAAGAATTATCAAAATACTATTATAAAGCGAGTGTTCTTTCTCAACACCCCTTCTCTGCCCACCCCACTTCCCTCCCCTTCCCCAGGCCAGCATATTTCAAAACAGACTGGAACGGAAAGCTTTCAAGAGTCACGCAGCTCTTGTTAGCACTGCAAATGCCCAGGCGCGTTAACAAGTCCCTGGTCCACCCCTAGGACACGTGTTGAAGAATGGCCTCTAGTTCACAATACTGATTCCTTGGATTCAGGGTCTGCTGTACTGGTTGCGTTGGAGACTTGGTTTTTGTGGGTTACCAAAGGCGATGTTTCCCCTTCAGACTTGCTGTTCGCAACTGCTTCTACATGGACTTCCTTGAGCTCCTGCTCTTTGTCTCTCTTTTCTTTTTCATTCAGGTAATTAAGGATGCCAGCTCCTAGGGCATCCCCTTCCACATTCACAACTGTGGTGGTTCGGTCCCTGGTTAAGATCAGAAACAAACAAACAAACAAAAAATGCAACAGGCTTTAGCTTCTGAGTTACAACACAATAAAGGGAGCTGATTCACCCCTGCTAATCCACCAACATCAGTGACAAGAGAGATGTTACCATAGGTATTTTCCCCAGAGGGAAAATTCTGAAATCACCATTTCAGAACTAAAAAAGTGCACCAGAGATGGTTTAATGTCAGCCCAGCCTTTACTATCGACTGGTTCTGGTGTCTCAGTGGATTGCAGCAATGGTCCTACTCTTTCTCAGGCATCCTTCTTTTCCTTTCCCTTCTCCTTTCCCTAGGCCAGCATTTTTCAAATGCAAGTTCAGAGCAGGAACTTAATTTGAGCTTATCCAGAAGGTCACTCAGAGCACCCAGCTCTCTTTTTTTAACTATACCTTAACCCAAACACCTACTTAAGGGGTCCTTCCAAAAGCAGGCAGAATGATTGTGCTCTCTGGATTTCTTGCTAGTAGCATCTGTCCTAATCATTAGTCCTACAACAGAAAACTACTATGTCCCAGGGTGTAACAGAGGAGGTTTATGGGTCATAAAGAAGAACAGTTTCTTCATGTGCCCTTTGAGACTTCTGGCCCACTCTGGCAATGAAATGGCTGGCATAAAAACAAGACATGGGACTCCTCCCTCTCTCTTTCCCCATTTTGTTACCACAGGGATGAGCTTCTTGACTAGAACAACAGTGTTGACCATGAAGGTATGCTACATATTTTGAAATAAAGGTGGCCAGGATGACACAGGCTGAGGGTAGCCTAGAGTGAAAGGGCATGCAAGCTTTTCACTTTTGTCTCCAGGCACTTGTGAGTACAGTTTGTGGAAACCACAGCTACTACTGTAATCCCTGAGAATGCAAAGAGCAAGCCACTGCTTTGCCCGTCTCTCATGTCCTTTGGAGGTAGCTGATCCCCAAGAAGTGACAGTAAGAAAGAGTTCAATGGCCCCAACAGGAATATGATTATGCTCCACAGACAAGTGTGACGTGGGAAGGAAAGGAGGTAATACAGTTGCCTTCTTCGCCAGCCTCTGGAACTCAACAGTGTCCTCAGGCATCTTAATTTCCACATCTGCTGTGGAAGTACACCATCTACACAGAGAGGCTGGTGTTTCCAAAAAGCAATGCAGGATTATGTACAGCTTAAACCAGAAACTGGCCAGGAACTCACCAACTGAAAAAAACCCTAATGGGATTCAGATCGCTTGACCCATACTGTCCAGTCATTTCAGCCCACTACTCAACTTCAACCAGATGGCTTGACAGCAGATTACGCTTTTAAATTATCAGCTCATGCTTACTTCACTAGCATTTAAACTTTAGGCATGCTATAATTCATGAGTCCTTCCAGATGGATTTTCTAGTATTTGAAGAACAGCAGCCAGCCAGGCTTGTTCAAGGTAAACCAGAGACATCCTTTTCCACAGGGCTCGTCTAAGCTATAAGAAATCACCTGCACATGGCATTTACATTTATGCACTTGTGGCTGGGTCTGCAATGCTTAAAGCAAAACAAATTTTTAAGGCTTTCCTCTAACTAATTTAGGTGAAACAGAAGGTAAATTTAGGCCTTAACAAGGACATAGCTATGCTAAGTGGTGAGATAAGCTCTTCCAAACAGAGCTCGGGAAGGAGATAATCTCTCGTATTTCAAGGAGGAGAATGGCTCTTGGAAAGAGAAGGAGCTGAGCAAAGGCCTGACCTTGCATTTCTTTCCCAGAAGATGGAAACGAAAGGTGGCAATACTGTGTACTAAACTTGTGACTCCTAGAAGCATGTTCCAGCTGTGACACTGCTCACAGCTGTGATGAGTGCCACAAACCCTGTGTCCCTGCCCTGTCAATGTACGTCACCTCTCTGTGATGCTTGTGTTGGTGATTTAACCAGTCTGGAACCACAAAAAGAGTTCAAACAATACAACAACTTCTGATGGAGACTGCTTCACATAAGCGACCAAGTAAGTTTTCCACCACTATTCAGACTCAATTTCCTTTTCCCCAATTCCTTCCTAGTGTCCAACTAATTTCCAGCACTTTTTGAACAAACTTTCAACAATTATTCTAGAGAGAATTGAAACCAGGAAGAAATAAGTTTCAGTAAAGAGTGAGTAAAAAAAGCTGAAGAGATTTTAGTGTACTAACATTTTTAATTTAGAAGGGCCACCTTTTCCATTATCTGTCAAGAGTTATCTGTCCTATAGGCAGCCATTTTATTTTATACTGCACTGCTTTGATTGTCCTGCCCCATCTTTCCAGATGAACATGCGACACGTCATGCGACAGCAGATACATGTGACCTGAAGTACTTACACAATCCAGTCCACTGCTAATATCAAGGAGAGATCGTTGGTTGGAAGTCCAATGGCCTCCAAGATGATAGCGATGGTGAGGACTCCTCCGGCTGGGACACCAGCTGCACCCACGCTGGATGCAGTAGCTGTCACTCTGCAAATCAATTTGTGAACCTGGTTAGCAGGAGCTCTGCAGCACTCCTCTCCTACACTTACGTCACACATTTCCCTGCTATGCAAACTGTGAACAAACTCTACAGCATGGGACACACAGATCATTTCCTTCCCAGGCAAACCCTTTCCTGCCTGCTGATGCAAAGTAATGGGTACAGAGCACGGTTGCTCTGCAGGCATCCACAGCAGCTACCGAGGCAATGGCTCTGTGTTTAATACCATGATTGCCTTTTCAGAAAAAAAAAAACAACAACCAACAAAAACCAAAAAAACCCACCCAAAAAACAACCAACACAACTATTTCCTGCTGCCTTACTAATATATCTATTCCAAGTCATGTATCAGTTCAAATATGCAGAGTACATTACATCTCCGAACCCCAAATGTATAAAGGTAAACCCTGCCGTGCAAAGCACTGTCCCTTCTGTGTCTCATTTGCATTCAAACACAAACCCTAAATCAGCTGCTAGAAATCTGCAGTGCATGTGTTATAGACATGGACCACACACCTTTTTGTGTGCAGATGTCTACAACTGAGTTTTCCTTGGCCTATCACTGCATAATCCTCAGGCCTCTGTTAACACCTGATTCACTAAGGGTACCTGAAAGGTTAATTTGGCCATCCACAAAGAAAATAATGCCTCAGCCCTGCCTTAAATAGACAAACAATATACTGGGAGATGCAATAAGGAAGGAAATAAAACCTGGCCAGGGAGGGTAAAAACAATGCCAGGTACTGGCCTTAGGAGACATCTGGTGGATTCAGCTATGGCTTCTCAGCACAGTGAGGGGCTAGAACTCCTGGTAGGATCCTCATTTAAGCGATTTTGAGGAGATAAATGAAGAGAATGACACTTCATGGCATATGGGATGTGGGAGGATATTCCAGGCATGGAGGGGAGAGTCCTAGAGAAGGAGGCAGGACTAAGGTGGTAGAGGGGATAATGGGGCAAAGCAGTCAGGAGGGGAATGTTAATGAATCTGGCCTGGGAAGTCAGCAATGCAATGGAAGGGCAGAGATAAGCAGCAGCAGAGCCTTTAGTATGAAATTGATACATAAGGAACTGAGGAGCTGGCAGCAGGATTTTCTAAGACATCCAGAGGGGGAGTCAGAGGTAGCTTTCTGGGTAGAGCAGCATGCCTCAATTATCCAGCTTATTGGTTACTGAAGTGTGGGGGAGTGATATGCTTAAGGAAGGAGAGGGATTTCTTGTGAGAAACAGCTTTAAACAGCTTAAAGTCTGTTTCAGAAGTCAATTACCCTCCCAGGTTCCACCTTTTACTAAATCGAGAGTCTGGCAAATCCTATGAAGCTTGAAAGACTCCATCCTTTAATCATCTTTTAATTATGTTCCATACCAGTTTGCAAGCTTTAGGTCAGAGATGTGGAATGCAACTGCTAGCTATTAACAGAGAGACCACAGGCTTGAATATGTCTGGGGGCCAGATGGATGTGGTTGCAATAGCAAGCAACTTACAGAATGGTGAAGATTTGCCCAGCATTGAGGTCAACATTATTCAGCTGAGCAATAAACACAGCTGCCATGCATTGAAAAATAGCAGCTCCATCCATGTTTACAGTTGCCCCGATAGGAAGGATAAACCTGCTGATTCTCTTGTCAACTCCGTTGTTCCCCTCAATACACTTGATCATTGACGGGAGAGTGGCTGAGCTAGAAACAGAGAACAGGGGGAAAAATCAAACACAAGGCATCAGGGTGTGCTGGATGGAAGGACACTGTCTCACCGCTTTCATTTTTCTAACATGCTGCAGACAGGACTGCCAAGACAACAACGCCATTTTACAGTCAGTCTCTGTCGTGACAGCAATGAGAGACCCTTCTCGTTCGTCTTGAGTCATGGTATTTAATAATCTGCTTCCATCCAGAAATAGCTGGTAAGGACTCTAATCTCCCAAAAGCAAGAACTCATGACTTGACATAGTATGCAGCCTAACAGGGCTGTGGAACGATCAAGTCTCAAATCACAAAAATACATCAAGAGATGCCAATATAAACACAACAGATGCAACAGCAACCTCTGTTAAAGTTGTACTAGTACCTTCTCAAGTGAACAGACAAATAATAAATTTTTAAAAAATTTAAAAGATTACTGGATTTATTTCTTGCATTATACATGGTTTTATACATTATACATGGTTTTATTCATAAACCCTCTCCTACTTCATGAACTTCAGCTCCTGTGACAGACATACATCTTCTTTTGGAGATGACCTGAAATGATTTTATACAGTTGCGATATTTGATTAGGTGTTTGCCCCTTGAGAAAAATGTAAATTACACACTTGATAGTTTGGTTATGACAAATAAAAGCTGATCAAGCCAGATCTTTGAAATCAATTATGTTAAAATCCTTTATAGTAGATAGTAAGTCTGCTTTGTTCCTCCAAAAGTAGTTTAAACTTGTTCCAGATCCTTCTGAACTTGAAGAACTAAACTTCTCAGGACAAAGTCCCTCACTACTGACCCTCAATTTACTTAATTTTGAAAGAACAACTGGCAGGATCTTTTTAAGGCAAATTCTTTAATCTTTTCCCTCAAAAAAAATCCAACTCGGCATCATGCTACAGTCTCAATATTTTGAGGAATTTTTTCAACAGCTAATTATCAGTACGTGTTGCAGGGCAGGCTGCTGACAGCAGTGAGACTCTCTCTGCTCAGAATTCCCTTTTTGCAATGTCAGAAACAATATTCACACCTAAAACTCAACACAGTTTGGTGTTGGGATATAACCAGTTTACAGTGACAAATATAACCAGGCTATAATCCCAAAAGAAGCACAAAAACCCACCTGGAGCAAGTGGCAAAAGCAGTGGCAAATGGTGTAATAAGTCCTAAGAGAAAACGATACGGATTTTGACGTGTGGATGCAAAATAAATAAGTGGCAGAATGATTCCTCCATGGATAAAGTGGCCCAGAATAGATGCGAAGATGTATTTTCCCAGACTGGTCACCAGAAGCACAATATCTTCCATTTCCACAATCTTGCTCCCAACAAGGAACATAATGCCAATAGGTACATACCTGTGTAAAGAAATATTGCCTGTTATTAAGTACAAACAGAAAGCCTTGAAAACCATGCCATTTTCCATCCTGGAGCTAACATTCTTCTAAAGAATATGCTGCCCCTACTGAAGGGTAATGTGTTATTCATCACGCACTCAGGTTAAGCAAATTTGGAAGGCCTCTCTAACACTATTGCTTGGTGGAAGGCAAGCAGTCAAGCTGAAAAAGCTCCGTTCTCCTTGGCCCTCAAAGAGGTAGATAGGAGAGTGCCGAAGGGATGCCAAGCAGGAAGCAGAAATGCTGGCAGATGCAATCAGCACAAGACATGGATGTGGAGTTTTAGTCCATGAGGGAGAAAGGCAGGTAAAGACCTAAAGCTAAAGTCACTGCTGAAGGGACAGCAGATGGTAGGAAAGAAAAATGAGCAGTACCATGTCACTGGAGCAGATAAAGGGGTAGAAAAGTAGGATCTTACACATGTGGTATGAAGTTAGGTCATTAAAATGGTAGGCATACTGGGTGCCAACATAGTCAGTGTAGGAAAGAAAAAGATATGCCCATACCAAAGCACTCAGCTAAAGGCTGCTGATGCACGTGCCAAAGATAGCAATTAACTCTGCTATTTGCCTACAGGAGGCTAAGTTAAACGATCAGGCTTCCAGAGCTTCCCTCAAGCCAACAGACGGCTCCATTGCCAAGCCTCTTATCTAGAAACATGCCACATCTTAGGACGTCAGCATTTGTTTGAGCTTTCCTTTGTCAGGAAAGCTTGGAGCTGCTCCAGGGAAAGGGCCATCTGCAGGCCACAGCCACACCTCTGGTCCCAGTAATGCAGCTGGGAACAGCCCTGAAAAGACAGAATTACCCTTGCACCTAAAGCACAACAGCTACTAAATGAACTGCAGGAATCACTTCAGAGCCAGGGTCAGTTCCTCCAAAGCTCTACTTAGAACGTTTGTATCCGAGTACCTCTGCTGATGCATCCATGTCTGCTTCTAAAATTAAGAAATAATGAAAGATAATCCAGCTCTCCAAAACCCTGTTTCAGGCACACAGGTGACTACAAAAGTAGTCAGTAAGTACTCAAAAAAAGTACTTGGTAAGTTTGCAGATGACACCAAACTGGGTGGGAATGTTGATCTGATCAAGGGGAGGAAGGCTCTGCAGAGGGACTTGGATAAGCTGGATCGATGGGCTGAGGTAAACTGTATGACATTTAACAAGGCCAAGTGCCAGGTCTTGCACTTTGGTCACAATAACCCCATGCAGTGCTACAGGCTTGGGGACAAGTGGCTGGAAAGCTGCCAGGCAGAAAAGGACCTGGGTGTTGGTGGACAGCGACTGAACATGAACCAGCAGTGTGCCCAGGTGGCCAAGAAGGCCAACAGCATCCTGGCCTGTATCAGAAACTGTGGCCAGCAGGAGTAGGGAAGTGGTTGTTGCACTGTACTTGGCACTGGTGAGGCTGCACCTCGAGTACTGTGTTCAGTTTTGGGCCCCTCACTACAAGAAGGACATTGAGGCACTGGAGCATGTCGAGAAGGGCAATGAAGCTGGTGAAGGGTATGGAGAACAAATCTTAAAACAAGCAGCTGAGAGAGCTGGGGTTTAGTATGGAGAAAAGGAGGCTAAGGGGAGACCTTATCGCCCTCTACAACTGCCTGAAAGGAGGTTGTAGCAAGGTGGGGCCAGTGTCTTCTTCCATGTACCTAGTGACAGAACAAGAGGAAATGGCCTCAAGTTGCCCCAGCGGCAGTTTAGTTTAAATATTAGGAAAAATTTCTTTACTGCAAGAGGGATCAAACACTAGAACAGGCTGCCCAGGAATATGGTGGAGTCACCATTCCAGAGGTGTTTCAAGAAGTGGCACTCCAGGACATGGTTCAGTGTTCATGGTGGTGTTGGGTTGACGATTGGACTTGATGATCTTAGAGGTCTCTTCCAACCTTAATGATTCTGTGATTCTGTGAAAAGATCTGCCTGTACATCATTTCAGGAATAAAGAATGTTCTTTCTTCCACTCTCCCCTGCAACTCAATGCCCACGTTCAGATAAGCTGATCTGTGGAGTCAGGACAAACTTCAGAAGGTTTGTTTAAGCATGCAAAGGTTTGGAAAGGTGGGCAAGTCTTAAGGGTGCCCAGATTACTCACTTCTTGCTAGTCTGTCTCTCCCTCAGTGGTTCTGCAGCTCCTCAGTTCTGTGCAGAGAGCACCTTCTTACGTCCCAGATCAATGTGAGCATCTCTCTATCCTCCCTTGGCCAAATCTTCCCCATTTAGCCTCTGCCAATCCTGTGACATACTGACTTTGTACTACCTTTCCTAGCACCCTGATAAGCTGAATCTAGATGAGCCCCAGTCCTGCACAAGCTATGCAAACACGAACATGGGATTCAGAGCTGAGACTGGATCCCTCCCCTTGAAGAGGGAAGCTGGAGAGAAAGGAAGTTGAGACCAAAGTGCTGCTAAACACAAGAGTGGCTGTTGAATGGGACTAAATACAAGCTCAAGCTGCCTTTTCTCTTGGTAGCATGATTTCATCCATTCCAAACTATCCTTTGGGAAGTGCGGCTTGACAGATTTTGAACAAATACCAGGACGACACGGTGCACTGCAGTGCTAAGAGTCAGCTGTGGTCTTGATAAGCCAGAAGGTAAAGGATTAGTTACTAACTGATTGGCTTGAAGTGTTAGCACTGTAATCAGCTGAATACAAGAACTGCCTCTTATCAGTATTCAGTGTCCAAGGAATTACACTCAAGAGTAAAAGACTTAAGCTGCTTTGAGACTTTGAATTTTTCAATCCCTTATGACAGCAACTAACACAGATCTGCCTGTGTAAAATCAGGTGTTTAACTAAAACCTTTCTACTTCTCAGAGGGAGGAAAATAGTGGGAAAGAAAAATGCAGAATGAAAGGAGAAGAAATACTTTGCCTAAGGTAAGCTTATAGCTTTTCTAACAGCTTTGGAATGGGAGTGAAAAATGTCCCACTGTTAATTTGTTAGCTAGCTACCCTTATGAATACTTTTATTTTTGAGTGTGAGGTATTAGTACTGTTGGTTTTGCAGGAGCAGCCTAGACCCACGCAGCTGCGCAAGAACAGCCATGATACCGCTCTGAGGTGCGGTTTCATCCCACCTGACAGAAAGCTTGGTCAAGAGGCTGGTCCTGCCTCATCTTAGGTGGCCTGAACTGCTCTCTAGAGGTGTCTGTATCCTCCAACGCTGGTTTCTTGCCTAGTGAGAGAGTTCAGTGCGCTCCAGTTCCTAACAGACAGGCTTTTTTTGGTGCCAAAAGCTTTGTGAGATCAGTCAGAGTAACGTTCACCCCATAACGTGTCTGGACTCCAGGCAAGTAAGTGAAATAATGGATTTGCACATTAATAGGCACAAGAAAAAATAAGCAATCAACCTTAGGAAATACCTACATTAAGAGATGTGAAATGGAAAAAATAGGCATCTCTGGAGAAGCAAGCACAAACAATAAACAAATAGTTGATCACTCTGCTAGTAACATTAGTTCCTGTTTCAGCCAAGAAAATGACAGAGATCTTAGAAGAGGAGCAGAGATTTAAAGATCCACTGTATGACTCAGGCTCTGGTGATAACAATGACAAAACTTTCAACAGCTACCACTACTGTTCCAGGAAGCCGGAAAGCATAGCCCCTGAGACTGTTCCTCCCCTCTACACAAAGGGACACAGGTTCTCCATCACCCTTTGATGCGAGTGGACAGAGCAGGCTCTGCATTCATGCACTCAAAAGAGTTTCTCTCAAACCAGTATCAGTGAGCAGGCTACCTTCTGGTCAGCACAAGTAACCTTTTGACCAACAGAAAAATCAAGGCACAAAGCTACAAGTAGTTATTTACTGCATTTGTAAGTGCACTCCGAGCACAAACATCCCTGGCTTTCACATGACCATATTCCTCACTTGTTCACATCTCCTTTATTCATTCAAGGCCAGTGCCTTTAGGCACATGATGGCAGCTAGCTATGGGCTTGCGCTGCTTTGAAATAGAAAGGCTTCTTTCCACTAATTAATAAAAATTGTCCTGGAGAGGATTTTTAAGCAACTCTCGGAAGTGTTCCAGACTGATACCTTAAGCTATGCATGACTATCTAATTACAGGGCACAAGCAAGAAGAAATGACCTGATCATGTGACACCATGACATTCACTTTAGTTGTGATGAGGGATTTGGTAAGAAAAAGTTGGGAGAGATGGATAAATGGCAAGATTCCTAAACTGACCATAATGTTGTACTGCAGAAGTATCTGCCATCATACACTTACCACATAATCCAGGTAACCAAGACCATAGTTGCTTCATTGAAAGAATTAAAGAAGCGAATAAGATCTTCCCCTTCCTGGCCAAGCTTTTTCAGCGCCACTCCTAAAACCAGAGCAAACAGCACCAGACCCAGTATATTCATCCCTTCAATCTCAGTACCGACAGGGACCTGTAAAGGGGGAAAAAAAAAAGGCATGCTAGACATGAGACTGGCACAAAACCCAACAAAAGGCTCACCTCATTTTGTTGCTGCCCAATCGATCTGAAATCAACTAGCAGAAGCTAGTGGAAGGAAGGAAGAATCTATGTTGTTGAGGGGAACCAAACAAGATCTGGACACAGTCCAGATACAAACTTCCCTAGTCACGAGCTGGCATGGATTCACTGGAGAAGGAAAGGGCCTGCCACAACCTCTCCTTATGCCTTTTAACGCAATATGTGTGTTTTCAGTGACCTGAACAAGAAACCTCCTCAGTTTACTCAGGACAAGCTCCATTGCAGATGAGAAACAGCATGGGCACCAATCATATGTGTACGGTTAAAAGACAGAAACTTTCCTCTCTGTTTTCCCATAAGGGAAGATGGGTGTGAGAGAGATCACAGGTATAAATGGCAGATACTGATGTTATTGACTTCCTAACTCTGATTATTCCAAGCACCATTCACTGTCAGCACTGTAATACTCTACTGTCTAAACAAATCTGTAAGAGGCTTGCAGTGGTCTGGCCCCTAACATGCTTTTATTTCCTGACACCTCTGATGGGAATCTCCTCTCAGAAACTGTCAGCAACATTGCTTTAGTGCAATATTTATACCAAGGTGAAAACCACTAGAAAACAATGTTATGAAGCAGAAAGAGGGGAGCGAGGCAGAGAAAGGTAACAAACTTGGAAACCTACTCATTCCTCTGTCCACATCAGCCAGGGGAGATACAGAGAAGACAGGAGAAATACCTGTTGCCCTTCTCAGGAAGCATGTGGCTGCATGGTAAAAGTAAAAAGATAAAACCAGGATCCACCTATTGACAAAAACTAGTCTATACTCTTAAGTCTGCTCTACTGGTCCTTCACAGTATGTTTCTCAGAGCTAGAGCTTGTTTGGCAATGTACTATCACACAAACTGAATGAGTGTTCTTGTGGCTAAGTAAAAATATAATTGTTTTGACAGACCGGGTTTTTTTTCCCCCTCAACTTGGCAGTACAAGCTTAACATGCCAAATCGTTGTTTTATTTGGAAGGGCTTCTAAAACAGATTAGGTTTGTGTACAAGTTTTGGCCTTCTGGCTAGTTTAAGTAGACACTAGCTCAACACTAAGAAAGAAAAATATATTCTGAGCTAAAAGCTCAAAATTAATATTGACTGAAGAACTCCGGATACTGATCTGCTAAATCCAATAAACTCAGCCTGCTTGAGGTGATATTTTTGCTGGAAGCATA